ATATTTGTGTTAAAATTACTTCTGTGTTCATTATAATTTTGTCTAAAGATTGACTGGTTCGACTATAAAGCTAAGTCAGCGTAAAACTGAAAAATACTCAGATTTTGGATTCATTTTTCGAATAGTTAACCCTCGTTAACCCTAAAATGACTTATTTTATTATAATCCTTAATCATTTATTAATTAATATCTGTTAAAATTAGAATTGGCGAATTTTGGCGAATTTATGAAAATTGAAGTTGAAATATACTATACTTTTATAGGTCATGTAAATGTTCCATTAAATTCGAAACTTTTCTTGGAGGAAAATATTAATATGTTTGATATTTTATGAGAGATAAATGTATCAGCTTCAAAATAGAAAAGATTGCGCAGCCATAGTGATTGACAGTATGTAGTGCGCATTGAGAAAAGAAAGGTGCTCTCCATTTCGTCATGTTCAATTTTTTGGTCAACTATGCCTGCTGAAAATTTGATGGCGGGGAACACATGGGACTTCAAAGGCATCGCGCAAACGTTCTTTACGCGCTGCGGCAACTTTGATCTTGGTTCATTTGCATAGCGCTGCGTGCGCGTGGCTTTGCCGAGTGATCTCCTTCTCAATAATACCTCCATGATATTATTTACCACTTATTGTTGAGGCTGAAGTGGGCGTGGCAGTGTGAAAACATCCCCCAACACCCCCCTCAGAAAATCTCTGGATCTGCCCCTGACAGTTTACATCAGTTATTTGTTACTAATTTCTTTTTTCCCTTGATTTTTAGGGGGATGCAAGATGGCCTTTGAGGAACAAAAAAGTGAAAATCAGATAATAAATGATGTTTCTAAGCAACAATTATGCTACAAGAGTAAAACCTTTGTTCCCAACCAAACTGAGCAGAATAATTTTTGTGCCACTTCAAAGAGAAGAATTAATGTGCAGACAGAAAACCAGAAAAATACAGTGCCAACTAGTCACAAACCATCTGAAGATAATAGCATTGATGAATACAGCAATAGGAAATTAAATATTAGTAGTAATTCGAAAAAAGATTTGAAAATACACACGACAGGAGGGAAAACATATGACTGTAAACACTGTGGAAATAAATTTACTCAAAGTTTTAATTTGCAAAGACATCTAAAAATACATACAGACGAAAAACAATATGAATGTGGACACTGTGGTAAAGAATTTATTGAGGGTGGTCATTTGAAAAGACATATAAGAATACACACAGGACAGACACCATATGAATGCCAACACTGTGGAAAGAAATTTAAACAAAGTGCTGATTTGAAAATACATATAAGAATGCACACAGGCGAGACACCATATGAATGTGAACACTGTGGAAACAGATTTAGTGATAATAGTAATTTGAAAGCACATGTAAGGATACACACAGGTGAGACACCATATGAATGTGAACACTGTGGAAGGAAATTTAATCATAGTGGTAGTTTGAAAAGACATTTGAGAATACACACAGGTGAGACACCATATGAATGTGAACACTGTGGAAGGAAATTTAATCATAGTGGTAGTTTGAAAACACATTTGAGAATACACACAGGTGAGACACCATATGAATGTGAACACTGTGGAAGGAAATTTAAACAAAGTGGTCATTTGAAAAAACACTTGAGAATACACACTGGAGAGAAACCATATGAATGTGAACACTGTGAAAGGAAATTTAAACAAAGTGGTGATTTGAAAACACATATAAGAATACACGCTGGACAGACACCATATGAATGTGAACACTGTGGAAGGAAATTTAAACAAAGTGGTCATTTGAAAAAACACTTGAGAATACACACAGGTGAGACACCATATGAATGTGAACACTGTGGAACGAAATTTAAACAAAGTGGTGATTTGAAAAGACATATAAGAATACACACTGGAGAGAAACCATATGAATGCCAACACTGTGGAAAGAAATTTAGAAATAATAGCAGTTTTAAATGGCATTTAAAAAAATGTACAAACAGTAAAAAAGATATAGCAAGATATATGATTGAGAAAGAAGAATAGAATTGCAAATTTGATTTATGAATGTAATAAATTGTTCAATATATTGAATAAATGTACACCATTTTAATAGATTAACAGTACTGTAGATCATTGTCTGTTGCGTGGCATATCGTTACCAGGGTGGTATTCTGGTATTTTTAATATTTTTCATTCAGTGAACTCCCAATTCAGTGACTCTGACAATGTGGGATTATTAATTACACATTTAAGTGACTAACTTGGGAAAGTTGGGCAATTGATGATTCCTGCACATGTGCGTCGCTCGATGGGGGGGGGGGGGAGAGGGATACGGTGCCCCTGATTCCTGCACATGTGCGTCGCTCGATGGGGGGGGGGGGAGAGGGATACGGTGCCCCTTTACCTTTCAAGTCAATTGTGCCCCCACACCATTCACCATTTTTCTATAACTGAGTTAAAATGGACTGGACTTTACAAAGCGAGTGGATAGAACAACAATTATGAGTGAATGACTCAAATAATCTCATTCGAAAACATGTAAATGAGCTAATCAGTAGATAATAAATAAGATAAATGTCATGACTAAAAAAAAATCACATGATATTATTATTATTCAGAGTAGAAGGGGACGCTTAAGGAAATTTTCATTTGGGCGCTTATTCGAGATGGGCGCTTATTCAAACGGTACGCTTAGTCGCGCGAGTACGGTATTTATTGCGGGAGCTGGAGTGTTTCAACCATACTAAAGTTAGCACTTCTATCATGATTGTGATCAAATTGTTTACGAAAAAAAAGTGAAGATATAAAACAAACGTGATATTTATTCTTGAAACCTGGGAGAAGGATATCGGTCAAATTCTTTAATTTCTATACAAATTAAACGTTAAAAATTACTTGAATATTTTCGAGCGTCTTCCGAAATGAAAATAGATCATCTATACCTATTAATTGTTTAGGAATTCACGTGTTCTGCTCACAGGGGTTTACGCGAATGATATTATGTCCGCTGACTATATTTAGACAACTCTCATAAAATTCGTCTAGTCTGATTGGCAGTCTCCCTTGGTCCATCACGATCGAGATAGCAATTTCTCTTTCGTTTGTATTGTAGCCTACAGTTTGAGGGGAAATGACGACGACGAAAACTGCGAAGACAATAGTGACGTAGACATGCGAAGAATTCGGATGTTGATATATGACTTATTACAGTCTTAAAGGCTCATGAATCGCTTCATGCCAGGACAAACTCATTCAACAACTTACCTCATGACTTCACACAGACGCTTAAAGTTTTATCGTCACTTTGGATTTACAATTTGGCTACACGTGTTTTAACAGTATAGTTTATTAACACTTTTAAAAGGACTACAGGCGTTGGTTAAACCAGGGAGTTGTTACAGTAGTGTTAAACTAGAATCGTCGGCTAGAGAACATCAAATAAAAGGTGTTAAACAAACGCGGATTTATAAACTATATATGCTTATGTAAACTAAGTATGAGTATTCGTATTTTAACAGATGAGGGAAGAGGCAGGCTTAGCGTCAGGTAAGAGGATGTTATCTACAGTATTTTCATATATTTTTTTATATTTTTTCACTTTCCTCTCTATTTAAACATATTATTTTACAACTTCTTGTTAGATTTATAGGCCTACCTAATAATAAGCTTATTATTATCATTAGGCCAATTATTATTATAAGCCAATTTACAATTTTTATGCCTAATAATTATTATTCTATGGAAATAAATTGTGCCTTAATATACCTTTAGATTAATATGGTGTACTTTAGGCCTGTTATCATTATTGTTATCAAGAATTATTACGAAAATAAATAAATTATAAGAGTCATTATAGTTAAATGCGCCACAATTTACCCGGAAGAAGTAGAGAAATGTCGAGGTATAAACGACGTTTAGCACCCAATAAGTACATTTATTATTCAACTTGGCCTCAGACTACATTAAGATTACATTTCACATTTAATTGACATTCTAAACATGAATTCACATGATGATTACAGAGCTAATTCAATCATTCCGAAATACATAATTTGCTGAGATTGGCTATCATTGATGAATTGTTTATTTTGGCATCTATCCATCGGCAGATAGTAGGCTACTAGTGGTACACTAGTTTATGAATTAAAGATATAATGCTCAGCTGAATGAATTTTATATTTGAAACAAGAAATTTAATCCCTAATTTTGTATTAGCCTATGTAGACCTTACCTAGCGCAAGCGGTTTCAACTTCACATCATATTGATAAAATTAAAATGGACGTTTAAATAATACAATCTGTGTTAAGAGATACACACATATTTTTTTTTACCAACAATTGTACTAAAACGGGTAAAAAAAGAAAAAAGGGGAAAAAAGAGTTGTTGCTACCAGTAGGATTGTAAAACCTTATATAACCTAAACGTAACGTAAAAGGTGTAATATGCCCAATATAGTAGAGAAAATTATGTCAGAGATTAATAAAGAAAATATGTTAAATATGATGAATATACCTATCGATCTTAGTGTGATGTAAGTTCGTCGCATTTACCGGTATTTGTCGAGAGAAAATTATGTCAGAGATTAATAAAGTAAATATGTTAAGTATGATAAATATACCTATCGATTTTAGTGTGATGTAAGGTCGTCGCATTTACCGGTATTTGTCGTTGATTTTACATTAATTACTTAACATCAATTCACACGCGCGTGCATGTTCTTAAGAATTGATAGGCTTAATAATGATGATGATGATGTTGATGAAGATGATGATGATGATGAGGCATAGGCCGAAGATGATGATGATGATGATGATGATGAGGCATAGGCCTAATGCATAATGATGATGATGATGATGCATTGATGATGATAAACGAGTTAGAACAATGATATAGTGATATTTGTAATGGATTGCCAGAAAAAATTATGTCAGAAATTAATAAAGAAAATATGTTAAATATGATGAATAGACCTATCGATTTTAGTGTAATGTAAGGTCGTCGCATTTATTTGTCGTTGATTTTACATTAATTACTTAACATCAATTCGCACGCACGTGCATGTTCTTAAGAATTGATAGGCTTAATAATGATGATGATGTTGATGATGATGATGATGTTGATGATGATGATGATGATGCATAATGCATGATGATGATGATGATGATGATGATGATGATGCATTGATAATGATAAACGAGTTAGGACAATGATATAGTGATATTTGTATATGGATTGCCAAAAAGGAAATAGTTCCTTGTACATGAGATAAGACCAATAAAGTTCTATACGGTGTTCTGTATTAAATGTATGATGATGACGACGCAATGATGATTGTAATGACGTGGACGACGATGATAATGATGATGATAACAACAAGGACGTTGATGATGACGATGGCAGTGGTGGTATTGATGATGAAGATGATGATGACTGATGTGATGAGATAATCAATGATAATGATATATGCATATAATCAAATCAATTCGATTCGTTGTCCTAAGAAGCATTAAGATGAATCATATGATAATATTACTAATGGACGATGCACGCATACACATTAAAGTCCATGTCATTCATTATTATGCTAGTTGTTATGTGAGTTTATAGCCAATAGCCTATATCCATCACCAAGTTAGCATGTATAGACCTCTCTGTGATCATTTTTGATTATTATGCTGTACAGTAATTCGCGCGAAATTTGGGACGAGGCATTGACCATGACAAAAATGTTGCTTGCCGTAGGCCAACTGCTGAGTCTACCTGTAATTTAATATCCAGCCCTCGTCGTGTGCTAAACTAATTAGCTTTCAAATCATATTGCAACGAATATTTTTCGTGCATACAAGATCTAAAGTTGAAGATTGTCGATTTCAATTCGCATTAGGCCTATACAAAGTGAGTGTTAATAATTAAACGTAATAGTAATATAAAAAAATAATTTTGATAATGATGAAGATAATGATAAGAATATAACAATATCAATAATAAAAACAATAATTATTATTAATATTATCATCATATTGATTAATAATACAATATAATACTAATAACATTAGATCAGTATCACTTAATAATAAGGATTATGACGATGATGATTGGGCCTAAAAATAAATTTGCCCTTCTTTTTTTAAAAAAGCTAAAAAAAAAAAAAAATCTTTTTTTAAGTTTTATTGTTTTTCCGCCCCTTCAGTGAGTTAGGAGCGGGCGGAAGCAAGCAAACACATTTGTTTGGCCTTATGATGATATGGTTGTGATAATGATGATAATGATGGTGATGATATTGACGACAATGAAAACGACAGTGATGGTAACCTATATAGTAAGAGTGAAAATATTAATAGAAAATAATAATAAGAAATAACCATAATCCAGTTATATTTTCAAATTTAGGCCATCTACTTTCAGATGGTGCATTTTCAATTATGTATAGCTAGCCTATATTCTATGTTGGTCATAACGTAAGTTCCATAACATGATAATCTTAGAAGTGATATACCAGGTGTTGAGTAACATAATGATCTTTGTCACATTAATGCCACACCTGTTAATAACATTCAGTGTGGCATACATACGGTGATTAATGTTAGGCCTACAATTGTAAAAGTCATTCGTCATTCTATATAGATACAGTATATCAAAATTTCGTTCTTACTATATAAGCCTTTGCGCATACAGTACATTGGTCAATTACAGGATGAGATCGATGGATGTTTCGTTATAATCAATCATAGAGGTGGGCACGAATTTAGTTATAACTTAATTTAGTTTAAAAAGTAATTCAAAAATTATAAAGAGATTAGGCTTTACATTTAGGTGTTAGATCTATAGACTTTGAGTATGAACAGCATTAGTTGTTTTTTTAAATTTTGTTAAAAATGTATTATATTATAATCGTTGTGCTTACAGATAAGCGTTCGTACGTGGTTGCTGTGGGTCTATTACTGCACATTATAATATTTATAGAGCACATTATTATTATGTACCTGCGCGTGTTTTATAGGTTGTACTAATAACCAAATTTTTACAAATACAAATACAAATACTCTTTAATAGCAATCTGCAAATTACAAAAGATAAAATACAAATTGAAGTTTAACAAATATAGAAATAATATATATATATATATATATATATATATATATATATACATATATTATATAAACAACAATCGGGAAAGAAAAACAATACAGAAACTCGTCATATCAACAATAAGGACACGAATAAAATTATTGTTATTATTATAATTATTATTTTCTTATCACTAATCATTATTATTATTGTTACCACTATTATTATTATTACCATTATTATCACCATTCATTATTATTATTATTACTACCAATATAATTACTATTGTTGTTGTTATCCCCATTAATATTATCATTATAATAACAACACTACCATAAAACAAATATAAAAACTGATGCAATTTTAATGTCAGAGGCGTACAGGAATTACAAGTATTCACCATTCCTTGAACACACAAGTGAAAGTAATACAATTCATTGTTCGCTGGGTGTTAACTTTGGCAAGGATAACTTATTATCCCAGCAGCAAAATTGTGCTAGACAATGGACCTCTAAGCCCGCCCCTTGACATTAATGCTAATGTCCCACATAAAATGGCAGCGCAAACGTATACGTAAACGGTAAACGTGCGTGTCCCTAATTAACACGTTCTGATTGGTCGATAAGTAGCCTAGTAGCCTAAGTTCGATTACGGAAAGGTCTATTGTCTCAGAGGTATTTGTATCACTGTCATACGTTTGCGCTGTCATTCTCAGTAAGTCATACACTTATATTTTTATATAGGCCTATAATATGACCTAATGATATTATTTTATTTTCAACAAAAATGCTGTTAGACCTTCACTTATTCAATGAGATACTGTCGTCTATGTACCTCGTTGGTTTGTTCGGTGTATCCTTGATATTTTCTATACATGTTGTAAAATAATCCCAAATGTTTTGCCAAGTCAGGCATCGTCAAAGTATTCTCACAAAACCACAATAAGTGAGAGCGACACCAGCGGTTGGCTGAAGTTTGGAAAAAGGCTTTGGATGCGCTATGCGGTAACATTTGAAATCATGATACCGCACTCTATGTGTGCTGTCTCTTATACACATCTAGATGTGTATAAGAGACAGATCACCTACCGTCCAGCAAGATAGAATTATTCCAGCATTTTT